ACTGCATTAAAAAAATTTTCGATCTCTGATAAATTTTAGATACCATTTCAGCAATTGATTTCGCAGTAAGTAATAATACTTTTTAGTTGCAATGCATTTTATCTGATCCATTTATTCACTAACAGATAAATGCTATTACTGAAAAATGAATAAGAATAACAAACAAATGTTATTCACACAGTCGAATTTTTAAGTTTCATTTACAAAACTCATTCATAATTTGCTTCTCAGAAAAAATTTACCTCATTTTTGATCTATTATTTTACCTTAACTAAATTACTTAACATATTGAAAGAAACTGTTTATTGTCTATACTAATTTTTACTCGTCATATTGATGCCATAAAAACATATTGTCAACGTTAGCAATCATCTGCAGCTCAAAGGATATTAATGCCATGATCCTTATTTTCACAGCAATCAGTTCAATAATTCATTTGCAATACTAGATGTAAGAACGTAAACTTAAATAAGTCCTTACTTAATGATTTAATGGAGTTTATTTGCAAGGGATTCAAAAACGTTTTTAATTCTTTCCTTTATTCAACATCTAAAATTAAAACAAACAAAAAGTATTTTTAAAATTAGTGAAGTCTTTCTAACATGGAAAAAAGAAAGTTGGAATTTATTGATGGTGTGTTTGAAAGATATAAGCATGCAATCTCATTTCTCTATAAATTTCCTCCAAATTCTTTCTTCCTTAATCCAAAGATATTTTTTGTCTTACTTTCTTTAAAGCCATAATAAGTTTAACTAATTGCTTTATATTTAATGAACATTTCTGAATTTTTAACAATTTCAACGATAAAAATGATTGTAAACAAGAGTATTAATCAGTATCCTAAAATAAATGCATAAAATAAAACGCATTACAAATCTTTTAGCAATTCAATATTAAGGAGCATCCGGTATTCATTAATTTTATTAGAAAATATTATTACTTTGCATGCTTTTAGTCTACAGATTTAAAGTGATAATTGCAAGAAGTAAGCATTTATAATAACAGTAGTGAAGACATGGCTACGAAAGTATAAAAAATTAAGTAAAGGAGATTAAAAAGTAAATGAGTACCACTGATAAAATTAATGATAATGGTCGGTTGAAATGAATAATACGAAATCAGTTTAGAAGAGAAAATTTTTGCATGCTTTAAAAGTAGATGAGCTAGCGCTAATGTCAATTTCTTTTCAGAATACAAAATAAAAATTAATCTATGTTAGAATGTAATACTTCATTTATGGACTTATATAAAATATGATTAACGAATAATTTCGCCATAGTAGTTGTATTATATAATTTTAGCACTTTTGAACTTGAAATTGAAATAAACTTGTGCAAAAGAAAGTTACAAAAAACTGGTTAGTCCAAATTTAGAAGTTAGCAATAATGAAAGTCATTTTTTTATTTATTTCTCGGGACCTATTATTTTTACTTCCACAATTACTGAAATTATTAAAAACTTATTTAAATTAAAAATTTAAATTTTTGAAAATTTGATATGAATTTTACACCGTTGGATTCACATCAGTCATGAATATGGATGGCTATATGTTATCAACTTGTTATATTATTGAAAACATGAGAGGGTAACTTTTTTATTTAAATTTACAATGATTGTATTTATTTTAGCAATGAATAAAATGATTAGGCTTGCAGCTGGAATCATAAATCAAATATATGAACAGAATGAACTATATTTCATAAAATGCAAGTACAAAAACAAAACAGACTCAAAGACAAAAAAGTTTTAGAGATCAAAAATTGGAACTTTGATTAATCATTTTAATGTTCCGAAGATCAGTGATCTGACAATCGTGTAATCGAGAAATGGAAGGAATAATTAATACATAGCATAAATTTTCTTCTCAAAGTTTATAAAATAGAATAATAAAAAATGGAAAACAGCATAATTATTAGTAAAATTCAAAGCACTCTGTGATATTTTAAGCTCTGAAAATGAAGTTCAAAATGAAGTGCTTAAGATTGTCTTGTTATATTTCAAAACTTACAACACTTTTAATAGTTGTAAAATGCTTTTAGTAATGAAAATAATTGCTTGTAAAGTGATAAAAATGAATGCTAAAATATACTTCAGTACTTTTTAGCAAAACAATTTAATTCAACAAATATGTGATAATTTTGAGAAAAAAATTCAAACTTAAAAATGAAAATTAAAACAAGAAATTCTGTTTGAAGTTCAATATTTACACAAAAATGATTAAATGAAAAGAATTTTAAGCAACGTACGAAAAAGTAAAATAAATTTACTTTTTACTTTTCTAAGAAATGATAAAATAAAGCTTTGAAATATTATTGACAAATTTTTTTTTCTAATTCCTTGAAAAATTATTCATGTCCTTAATCCACCGTTTGGCTTCAAAATGAATGATGCCAAGTTACAAAATGAAGAAAACAAGATATCTTTGGTAAAGTTATTTAGTCAGTTATATGGAAATAATTTAACCATCAAGTAAGTAAACAAGTAAGTAAGTGAGCAGTCTTTCTAAATATCGCTAAATTTGACTTCTGGAAACATTTATTAATATCTAGTTTATAAAAAAATTTTATAGAATGATAGAAGTTTTAAGGGAAAGTTGAAGCATTTGATCGATGTGATATGTAATTGAATACCTATATATACTGTTTAAATACATAGAGTAGTTGACGTTTAAACCTGTTTATTTACATTTTCAATTTTTTCAAAACGAACTTTGAACAAATTAAAAACTTATTATTAACAGGTAAATATAATTTTATGTTATTTTGCATTATGAAAATTAGACAGCGATATTATAATGAAATGTAAGATCAAACAAAAAAAGAAAAAATTGCGATTTTAGTGCAGACGTCTTCACCAGTCTCATTTCCAAGTGAAAGTATGTATATTAATGGACGGGAAGTATAAATGCAATGTATAATGTGTTGTAAAATTTGAAATGGAAATAAAATTATATTACCTAAATTTTTTTAATATTTTAGCTGATATTTGAATTTGTATAGTATTGTATTGGTTTTCATATTTTGAAATATTTGCCATTTTAGCAAATGTACATAATTACTTAATGGATGATGTTATGCTCATACAATGAAAAATGAAATGTATAAATGTATAAATTATAGTTATATATACAACTTATGTAAATTCACTTCGTACTAATTTCTTGAATTGTAATTGCAGTAAGTAAAACAATTAATATATTAAGATGGAACTTTATTTTTCAAATTATAACGTTTTTTAATTTGTTTTTCTCCGGCGCTTGCATATTTAAAATTACTTTGATGAAAACACATTTTTGGAGAAGTATATAATTTACATCTACAGAAAATTGTTTAAAAATGAAACAAATGTAATTAACATTATATTTTGTTTCAGTTAATTTTTATTTTTATAAAAAATTCAAAATAAAACCAAAATGCAATCATCTATTCTTGAACATCACAAACCAATTTCATTTTTCAAATGAAAAATGACTAAAATTAGGATTAAAATTATATTTTTTTAAAACCAATCCCTCAATAAATAAAAATTTGGATTAAAATGATTGGAAAAATGATAAGAACTAAACTAATACTACTAATTCAAGTGCTTTATCAAATTTTTTATATCGATGAAATGGATGAAAATGAATATTTAGGCTATATTTTCAGAAAAAATTTTAGCTTGAAAAACTGTAAATCTTTTTTTTTACTCTTAAAATTAGAACAGATTAAATTATTAACGCTAAAATTATCTTTGCTTTTCAAATAGACTACTTTAATTATTATTTTGTTAGCACCAAATAGCAGCATAATTTTCAAAATTACAGAATATTTCTAATTTTGAATATGGAACTTTTTTTTGCTTGTCATTATTGAAGGTAAAAAATTTTTTAAGACTGTTACCAATTAATAATTATTTTGTGACTACATTTTTACATATTTTATTCTAACACGTCAAGCTTTACAAAACTTCATAATTGGTGTGACATTTTTTGAAGATTTACTAGTTTTATTAATATAAATACATTTCAAATTGCTAGCAGACATGATTCTTATTCCATTTCAGCCTATCTGATTTAAACAATTGCAAAAAAATTATTCTTTAAATGAATAACAAAAATCTTCAAAAAAAAGAACAAATAAGGTTCTACTGTTCATTTCACGTTCAAAGTAAACCAATAATTTATTTTATACAATCCATTTTTCTTCAATGAACATATATATATTTGATTAAAAAAATGTGTTTATAATCATTTCTTTTCTTTCTTATTAATAAAATGTGAATATTTTATTGTTAATGCTTCGTTACACTTCATCAAGCATGTATTGCTCATTATTTTCTTACTGTTTTTTCTGCAATCTTCTTCATGTTATTATTTGATAATTATTTAATAATCTAAAAAGTCTGTTTCACAAATTATTGACAATGAATTCAACTTTTTGTTGTTGTTTTTTTTTACAAAGAACAGAATTACATAGAAATACCCGCTTGTAATATCTCTGGCAATTTCAATTGTTTTGATAATTTTTTGTAAGTATCAGTACATACAAATCTGCTGAAGCAATCTTTTTCCATTAACCTAAAACAAATATGGATAGTGAGTATACTGCAAAATTAGAAATATAAGGTTTCCAATATAAAAAACATCAAAATTCAATAAATTTATTACAAATTAAGAAATAAAATAAAATGAGTTTTTTACTCATATTAATCCATTCAAGATGTAGAACTATCCATAAATCCGTTCCAAATATAACTATTCATACATTTCAATTTTTTGCTATCTTATTCACAATTACGAAAAATAGCAAACAAGTGCTTCATAAATATCACCTTCATTTTTAAGGATTTGTGCTTTTTGCTTTCATCCATTAAGTCTAGCTTGTATTAAAACACTAAGTTAAAGCTAATTTAATTGCATTTTTGGCAAAATTTCTATAAAAAAAGATGATATTTTTATATGAATTCCTTATAAGATTTTGAAGCCAGAATTATATTTAATTAGAATTTGAGATTACTTTTTAATTATACCTATATACATGTGATTGTGCTTTATCAAATACATCTTCGGTATAATTAGCCTTGTCTTGATGTTCAATCCGTTCGGTTATGTCAGCTCTCGTGTCGTGATCAATATTAATAGCTAGTGATGAATCTGCAGCTACAAAAGTATTATAAATATCTTGCACTGCATTCACTAATTCCCCACCATTTCGACCTATTTCATGCAGCTCCTCGACAGCCCACCTGAAATACTAATTTAAATGTAAAGTTGAGTGATTGATTGAACTATTAATTTCAAATGTTAATCTTAAATATTCAAATTTGTCAAAAATAAACCGGAAAGATGAGCAATTGTCTCAGTTAACAAGCCCATTTGCAATCGAAAAAAAAATCAAGATAAGATCTAAAATTATTACTGTAATATGTTTCTTTATTTAAATAATTTGATTGATTAGTTCTTGAAATAAATTAGTCTTTCACTTTTTCAATATTTCCAACGATTTACAATTATATTTTAGAAAAATGCAAACCAGAACACAATATTTTCTTCACTGTATTCACTTCTCAAGAATTTTGTAAACTGCCTGCGCCCTTCAGGACTTCTAATTAATTCATCAAATGCTTCTGTCCACTCATTACCATTACTAGAAAACTAATACCAATAATTATGTGACGTTGTTTGGTGTACTGAATTGCACTTTTAGTACATTATTTTATTACGATTAAATTTAAAGTAATTTGTTCATGACAGAAAGAAGTGAAATTTTGTTAAATAAAATAAAATAAGCTGAATAAATAAATAAATAACTGTTGACGTTTAGATGAAGTTGCACTATGTATATCATCGACTGCATTTGATGATTGTTTAGATTTTCCTCGAGACACTATAAAGTTTTTAAATGGTATAAATTTCTCAGAGGAAAGTAGCAAACATTGAAAAGTACAACTAGTATAAAATAACGAAGTAAGTTCAAGCAATAAGACGGATCTAAGTTACAATTAAATGTATCACTGTATCCATCGCAAACTTCAATTTACTATAATTTTGAAAAATTAAAAGATTAAAAATTTTTTAAATAGTCACTTAAATACGATTGAGAATACCTGATGAAAGTAGAGCATTACTTAGTACTACTCTAACTTTTGCAAGCTTTAAAGCATCGCGTATTTTTCTCCAACGTTTTCTGTAATTACGTCACAACTTCAAATCTTTTATATTTTCGATTTCAAATGGAATTTTGAAAACAGAAACTTCAGTAATGCATTAATCTTGTTGATATATATTTATCAAATATATATCAACAAGATTAATGCATTACTGAAGTTTGTGATATGAAATTTCAATTAAGGATCAATTATTGATTTTGATTGCTTTGATTGAAAATCAAATCAACCAAACTTATAATTGAATTAATCAAATGCAAAATGGGTACGCAGTTTATTTTTGCTTAACACTGGCAAAAATTGTGATGAATTTTCAGATATAAGAAAAGCAGTTTCAAGAAATGATCTTGCCATTACTGAATGAAACCCACTTGGAATTTTGTTGTAATGCACCAGGGACTGAGCACAAGGGTCTTTCAACCAAATTATCATCTTCACCTTCACTAGCAATCAGCGATTCTCGCTCTACCACTTTTAACATGCTGATTACTTTGAGGTAAGTTGAAAAGTAACAAAATGTCAGAAAATAGTATATAACTGCCACAATCACAAACTGTAATTGCAAATAAGATAAAAGCGCGCAAATTACGCATACATATCCCAAAACGTTTTATCGGCTACGATTTAATATGTGATGAAGTAGTTTAGTCCTTAATATACTAAATTATATATAGAAAAAGTTCAGCTTATTTAGTATCAAAGTAAGATAACTAAATAAGAGCAAGAATTTGCCAAATTTTAAATAAACAAAATTAAAAAGCATTTAAAGGCAATAGAAGAAAGCATTATCTCCGATGCAATATTTTGATAGAAAATTACTTTTGAAAATACAAAATGAGAAGAAATGCAGTCAGCTGCTATCGTATTAGAATAATAGTGAGAATGATAAATGTTTTACGAATGAAGACTTAAAAGAGGGCAAGAATTAAGCAATACACTTTAATAAAATATTTAAATATTAATAAAAGGAATCAGATTTTTAGTACAAACGAGAATATTGAAAGGTAATATTTGAATCTCTCAACAATTATCCGCTATAACTCACTTGCATAGCCACTTTTTCTCGTTCAATTTATTTTTGCATTCTTTTCTGATTCTGTAATACCTTTGCCGCAAACATTGATATCAACTTCAATGCAAAACAGAAAATGAGAAGAAGCAGTTTGAGAAAAAAAAGTATAGTAACATATCATTCATTTCACATTTTTAATCAATAAGACAGAATTTAAAAAAGATATGTCAATCTTAAGAGTTAACTTTCCCACATACTAATTGTGAGGTGAGACTCGTATAAAAATTTATTACCTCCTAATCACTGCCATCAATATTGTCTAAAATTTTTCTCTCTATTACATCATTTTTCAATAATATTAAAGATTTAGTAAAAATTTTTGTTAAATAGCAAATAAAAGTTTATTTTTTGCTTTTCATTTCGACTCTACTTTTAATTTTGAATTTAATAAATTAAGATAACTATGTATATTTCAAGTTCTTAAACATACGCTTGCAATATAATTATTGTTATTTAGATTAATAGATAGGAAATAATGAATTAGACATAATAAATAAACGAGAAAAGCTAAAAAGAAAGCATCATCCGTGATTTGATTATGTTTGTTTAATGATTATCTTCGAGTGGTTATCATTTCATTTTCTTTTTTCAGCTTGGTGTCATAGCGATTTGAATATAATTCTCAATTAAGTAGTAACGTAAACGTATTTTGCTACTGATCAATTGCATCATTTGCATAATTCAACGTGAAATGATTATTCTTACAAATTGAAGTGTAGAAAAAACGATGAAGAAACATGGAATGCATGTGCAAATTACAAAAAAGTTGCTAACACGCAAGTTCTTAAATGCAACACAACTTTTTATCAGTTAACTGTCGTACACGTATATATTCAATAAGCATTGATCATTTATTTGAAAATGGGTTTTGAATTTTGATGAAAAAAATTAATGCAGCAATTGAAAGCAAGTGACATAGAAATAAATGGGTTCCTACTTCAGCTGTGTAAATTGTTGATCAGCAAAGATACAATAGTTGATAACAAGTGGAGTACAGTTTTTAGAAAGTAAATATCCCCGTAATTAGACTTCATGAAATTTTTATTTTTAAGCATAATTTGGAGTACAAAGTTTATAACAAAAGTTTAACTATTTGTTCTAAAATGTATTAAACAAAAAAGACTTTTAAAAAAGAGTTAAATTTATATTGCAGAAGCTGCAAGTACGCTGCAAACAGTGAAAATGATTTGCTAATGCTTTAAGAGAAAATAGTTGCAAATATAAATAATGACGATGAGCCGCTGTAATTATCTGCAAGCTTGTGTATGAAAAGTAAAATTATTGCTATTATTGTTACTATTACCATACTATTAATACTATCATCATTATTAATATTATTATTGCTATTATTGTTGTTAATATTGTTACTGTTAACACTATTTTCATTATTATTAACAGCAAAAATACTATTACTATTTATTGTCACTAAATAGAAAATTGATGTGTACAGGAATTGTATTACGGCAAATTTACCTACTTATTATGAATACTGACAAATTAAGATAGCAGAAAAAGATATAAATGAAAGAAATGATAAAAAACAATTGAATAAAAGAATGAAATAGTGAAAAAATGAAAACATAAGTGAATGAATGAATGAACGAGCGAATGAGCACGTCTGACAAAATGAAATAAAGCAAAAAAGCGAAAGTTGCACTCGAAATGAGATCAAAATGGATTGGTTGCTTAGTAGTTTCAAATGCAATGATTTGTAATATTGAAGATTTTGCATTTATTTAGCAAGTTTTGGTGAAGAGCAGATCTGGAGAAAATTATCAACAAACTGCCGTCATTCAATGGTTCGTTTTATCTACTAATTGGTGTATAAGTGATTGGATGAATGTATCAGAAAATGAATAAATTAATGAACGAATGCATAAATGAATGAATAAATAATTAAATAATTAATTAATTAATTAATTAAATAAATAAATAAACAACTGAATGAATAAATGAATGACGGAATGAGCGCTATTTATTTCAACAAGTACTCAAAAAGTAAATGCACTTGAAAATTAACTGTATCATGAATTAAAATGAAAAGTTATTATAGATGAGCAAAAGTTATGCAACAAATTTCATTTTCTCTGCTGCCTGCAAAAAAACACAAACGATTGTGTTATTTATTATTCTTATTCTTATTCTTATTACTATTATTAATTATTATTATTATTTGTTATCTTAAAGAGGTAAAAAAAGTGAATTAATAAGAAAAAAATACAACAGAATGGATTTGAGTACAAAAGAATGGTAGTAAAAGAGAACTGCACTGAATGATTTGCAGTAGATTAGTTAAAAATATATTTAAAGTGATGAGACTTGTTAGAAGTGAATGATCTAAAAGTGACAGCATTTATTTCCTTCTATCAGAAGAAGCTTTCTTGAATGTTCAGGTCATTGATGATGTTTCAAAGTAATAATTAAAAGAAATCATTCATTTAAACTATCTAGTTCACTTCACTTATCAAAACTTTATCAATTTTTGCAAACTTCCTTCTCTCTCTGTACATTATTACTTCATATTAATTTCCCACTTAAACTAATTATTTCATCAAGAAAATCAAACAGGTTATTGGTTGGAAAAAAGATAATAAAAGAAAACATCGAATATTTAAGTTAATCTCTTCCACAGTCACTAATGTGCATAGAAGGAATATTAAATGGATTATCAGAAATAGAGTAAGTGTCAAAAGAAATAATTCTGCTTTTTATCTTCACAAAAATAAAACTAAAGAAAAAAACACTAATATATATATTAAAAATTTGTCAAGATTGTAAAGTTTTCAAAGCAGTTATTGCACTGATAAAAGTGAATGACAACATACATGCAAGTGAAATTCATCATTTGAAATTCGAATTTTGGTGATTTCAAAATAAAAAATAAAAACAGCTGAAGTAAAGATGAAAATTCTTTGACTGCTTGCTTGAAAGTAAGATTATTATTCTTCAAATTATTTCTCATTTTTGCTCTGAAATGCCGTTTTCAAGTAATACAGTTATTAGTCAATTTGCTTTCAGAAAGATAAATTCGTATAAAATACATTCTATTTTCTTTATTTCACTTTCACTTTGATATTTAACTTATCGTATACATGCATTAGAACTACTTTTCGTATTTATGCTTTATTTTGACTTTACATCTAGCAATTTTGTTTTTGCATTGGTTAAATAATAATTTAAATCTCATTTTTTTCAATAAATTAAATTAGAAAATCTTTCCTTCTCATGGATATGTTTTATGTTTGCGGAATAGTCATAACTAAACTGATGCTTATATAAAATTGTTTACGGAATAGTCATAACTAAACAAAAAGCTTATATATTGGAAATTTTTAAAAAGTTTTCATCAGTTTCATTAATAATGAGGCAGTGTATTAAATATTCCATTACATGTTTTCTCAATTAAGAAGCTAAACTTGATTTAAAATTAAAAGTTGTTGCACACTACAAAAATTTTTCCTCTATAGTAAATAGATAGTATTTAATATCAATGAATCTAAAAAATATAATTTAGATTAACTGATGCTAAATGAAATGATTGAGTAAAAAAAAGAGTAATAATTTGAATAATTACCAAAATGTTTTCATTTTCAGTATAACTCTATTATTTCAGCTCTAAAAATGAATATTTGTTGCATACATATTATCGAATTTTCTTTGCAGTTTAAAAAAGAAAAAGTTTATACTGCTAGCACTTTTAGTGTTTTCAAGAATGCATTTAAGTTTTATCTTTGGATAGCTTACTGAATGTATAATATTTCTTGAAAGTCTACTTTGTTAAGAATACAATCACAAGTAGTAATTTTTTTTAGACTCTAAAACAATTTCATTGGCAGTGTTTGAATCTAACAGCAGTCTCTCATTATTCTCGTACCGGTGACAATTCTATTTTTACTCATTTCGTTGACAAACTTTCAAACTAAACTTAGTAGTTGCAGAATGAAATATTAAGTGAAAGCTTCCATCCTCAAAGCAAATTCATACAAATTTTTCAAAAAAAAAGAAGCAAAATATCAATTTAATGCATTTTTAATATTTTTTGCGCTCAACTAAAAATATCATTTTACTCCATCTTAAATAACTAAAATTTAAAAATAAACACATGCGTACATATTAGTAGAAAATTTGATGATTGAAAGTAAAAAAAAATGCAAAAAAGAAAAAATCGTATAAAAATTTGTAAATGTTTAGCAAAAAATTTCTGGAACTGTAGAGTTCTAAATATACAAAGATAGTATCAATTAAGAATATGAAGCAATTTGAACATATCAATACTTCTTTTTTCTTGAAAATAAATCAAGTAAAAAGGATGAGATGATATTGAAAAATGTATTTACTTCTTAATATTTATTTATTTATAATATTATCTTGCAGCATATTTTATTTACTTTGGAAATAAAACAAAATATAAGAAAGAGTTAAAGACACAGAACAATTTTATTACAGTAATCTTAACTTGTTTGTAAAAACAAGCAAAAAAAATCTGATCTAATGTCTATACAACAAATTACGATTTCTTGATGTGTATAATTGCATCCAATTGCAGCTTGGGATGATATTTCATGCATACTTCACATTTATCCTTTTTGAATGGAGATTTCACTAACTAGATTAACGATTCATTAATTCTCATCATATTAAATTCATTAATGACCATAAAAATGCAAAACTGGGTTGAAAACTTCACATCACCACGACAACTGCTAATAATGAAGTGAGTTAAAAGAAAAGGTTATTAGTGCTTTATTCTTAACTAAACCTAATGAAAAAAGGCTCTAAATACTAATTACTGTCTTACTAAACTTTATTTCAAAGTAGCAAAGGTTGGAGCTCATGGCATTAGTTTATATGTTTATGCATAGTGCGGTCAAAGTTTAATCTTTGCTTCCACAAAATCTTCAAAAGCAGGTTGATGCATTCCTTCCATCGTTCATAATTCAAATCAAGGAATAGATATTAGTAGTTTTTCATAAAACTGTTAAGAGTAAATTAATTAAAACATAGTAAATTACTTATATCAAATTCATGTATAGCACGAAAATAAGTGGTGCACTTATTTGTTATAAAATAGGTAATAATCGAAAAAATGGTTAAATAAAGTGGACCGAAGTAAACAAAATCAAAATGTTCAAGCTTTCTTCAACAATTTTTCTAACCATTTGATCACTGGAAGTCATGCAAGAACAAATTTTTAATCCTTTCTGATTATTCTTAACTGATTTAAAATGATGATTGCCCAGCACAACATTGATATTTTTATAAAATTGCTCAAATTCTCACTAACAATCAAACAACGTTCTTCTCGCAACAATCTTTTTCCTTGATTTTTAAATAACTTTAGTAAATACAAATGCAATAATTATATATTAATTGCCGCTTAGACAGACATAATTTAGCCAATTAAGTCACCAAATAAATTTCTAGCAATACTCTATTTTTACACTATCACATCCATTTCTAGCACCCACTGTGCCTAATTAAGTTACAAATCTCCTATGAGAATAAAACTTTCTCTTCGAATTTGATTCAGCTACAAAATCGGACTAAGTCTGATTACGATAATTAGATGAAAATTGAAGCAAATTATACGATGGAATCAGAACTGCGGTCAAGTGTCACGTTTATTGTACTGTCAAGGAAAGTTAATTCTATACTTCTCAAGTGGTTTAATCCATTAAATACCTTTATTGTTTCAGAAAATTTGCTGCTTAGTTCTGACTTTGTTTCAACAAAAATAAAATTATTTGCAAAAAAACACTGAGATTCATTTATCTATACCATAAATGCAAAAAGTTACAAATCTTTACTCTGAATGGATATGAGCTGGAAAAAATTAATTAACAAATAACTGTAATTCAACTAAAATCTGCGTTAAATGAATCTCAGTTTCACAACTATCGTATTTCGTATAAACAAAATATTTTATCACAAGAATTATAAGGATTTCTTTCAAAATAGAATCATGATGATTATATTAACAAAGAAAAACATAACAAAACAGTCACATTTCTTACAATGTATATCGTAACCTTACTGCCAATTATATTAGAAAACAACGTATACTTTTATTTGTATTCAGAAGATTAGAAACAGTTCTGAAATTGGCTATAATTTTTTCAAAGTTTACTTATTTCAAAATGCTGCGACACTTAAAAAATGGATTTAACTTTTTGAATTCTTCACTTGAACCTTTGAGAAATTGCTAATTCCTAGCATGCAACTGCCTTCTTTTTTATGCTTACATTAATAAGTTTTAATGCTTCCAACTGAAGTTAGTTCGAGAAAAAATTATAATGTACAATCTAGGTAGTTAAATGTATTGGTACCAACACTCATTATCTCATTATCAATTAAATGTTTAGTAATAGCAATAATGACAATATCGTCAATATCAATTCATTACACATTGTATGGGAAACTAGATCTGATGTGCCAACATTTAACTTTCAATAATCAAGAATATAGCAAACAATTCTGACAATCACAAAATGGATACTTTAATTAATTAAAGTATTGCTAAGACACTGAATTTTTCGTCTATGTTGCATTCCTTCAAAGACCTCAAACGCTAACACTGTCCATGATTTCTCGGTGTTTTGAATTTTGGTTACAAGATTAAAGAAATTACTTGGCTCTCAAGCTCACGAAAAACACGTAATAATGTTCAAATAATGATAAGCACAACCGTCCCCTTGCACACCACTGCAATTCTCTCAGTAATGAAGACCCCACCTGTAAAAACCCCAATTCCAACGGCGATAAAACTTATTCCGAAATCAGTACCATTCAGAGAGGGGCATTTAACAGTACTGAGACTGCACAAGCAAACCTGATAACTGAACTTCCAAATTATTAATATAGTCCTGAACCAAAAGAATTTTATGCTGCAGAAATACTTCCTTAACTTCAATCATGTAAAAAAACAAGGACGTCATTATTTCAAGTTCATACTCATCGAACCCAATGAAGCTGAAGACCTCAGTCTAATATTCATCATGTCTTAAAATTCTGATGAGCAGTCGATTTTGGTTGAGAGAGACATTTTTATAACACAGCATTTTCACAAAGAACTTCTTCTGGAAGTATTTTATTTCAAAAATCAATTAACATCACCAGTTCAGTAAAGTATTAACTGAAAATGGCTCCAACAACATAAATAACTGAATTAAGCACTTCCAAAAGTGTTATTTATAATCATTAGAAACAACTGAAATAAAAAAACTAAATTTGTTTAGATATGGCGGAATCAGACTAATTTATACCAGATATCTTCCCAAAAACTACTGCTATTTCTTGATGCATATTATGCAGGAATATCTCTCCTCTTAAGCATAACATTTTGAAGGTTAGTATGTAATCCGTTAACAGCATGACTGCCACTGACATTAGTTTCGTCAGAGAAACCATGTGGCACATCACGAATGCTCACTAAATGATATCGCTGTAAGTGAATAGCAAATTGAGCCCGACTACTGAACTCCTTGATACATGTTGAACAAGTATACGAAGTTTGTTCTGAAACACTTCTTGAAAGTTTTCTCAAAAAAAGAATTTCAGTATTCAATAACTCAGATTTACAAAAAAAGGTATATATTACCCATTAGAAAATGTCTTTCAAAACACTAAAAACATAAATATACGACTGTTCTTCATTGCCATTCTTTAGCACCAATAAATATAATAATATTTATTTAATTACTAACTAAAAAAATCCTTCATGAGATTTGTTGATAATTTTAATTCATTTATGAAATTTGGGATTCCTTTCTTAACCAGTATTATTCTTTACAGTTAGCTCTACAGTGAATTCAGATCTTTACAAGTATTCAGCAAAAATAATTGAGTAATATTCTTATAATTTGAAATTTTCAAACGCTATGAACATAAATTACGATTATAAGCAGCAGATACGTAACCTTGAAGTTCTGAATGGCCCAACAAGCGTTTGGCATACTCTGAAACTTCACACCCATGAGTTTTCAATTTTGATCTTTTTTCGCGATGTGTGCGATTCCAGTGCTGTCTCGACTGCTTAACACACTGAAAGGCTTTCTTACACTCTGGGCACGAATATTTGCCTGCAAAAATCAACAAACTGTTTTATAAAAACTCTGTCTGAAGTAGATAATTAAATGTGATTTAATTTTCATCCAATCGATAAAAATAATACAATGCACCTCAGTTCTCTATGTAGTACAAAATTACGCAGCTTTAGTTAAGAAATTTCGTCAATAATTTCTAAACCTACCAATCGCAGCTCCTCGTCATGCAATAAAACAGCAGTCAAAATTATACTGAAAGAAAATAAAAATACCTGATTCTGTTGAAGCAAATGAAATCATAGTATCCTTTTGTTCAGTTTTTTGTGTTTTAATAGATGCCAACGAATTTCCACTCTCACCTTTATCTGAATAATCCACTTTTCTTTGACATACTTGATTAAATTCAACTTCACCATGCAGAACACTATAATTAGTTTCAGCTACTGTTGCTGTATTCAGCCTTTCTTTTTCATTAATTTGCAGGTTTTGCGCATTTACCTGATCTGTAATATGAATATTATAATACCAAACTAGCAATCATTATTTGGAGTACCAATGAATGTGAAAAATTTATGAAATAATTATGATAGCAATTACAAATAATGAAACCAGAGTTTTCACATAATTTAAGAACGTGCTATAAGACAAAATCTTTCGAACTAAAATACAACTTATAAATGAGAAGTATTATAAAATGACTACAGGTGCTCAGTATTCTTCCATCTCCAACAGTTGCTAATTAATAAGAATGAAGTATGTGGATGGATAGTACTAAAAGTCAGTGCGACATTTCTGATACAAATTAGTACTTTCTTTACTCAATAATAACATACCCACTGAAGGCTGACAGGAGGAAACAACCGAATTATCTTCAGATGTATTGCTTTCGAAGCCAGATTCTTCAACTGTTGACACGGATTTTGCATCAGTGATTTCTTCATCAGAGTGACTTTCAGTAACTGCAGGGATTTTCAATGCCTGATCGTTTTCTTCATTTGAACTGCTTTGAATATTTCGTTTTCCTGCACAATGAACTTCACTAATATGTCGTCTTAATCTGAAAAGGGCTCTTGAAATACATTCATTGAATTGGCAAATGGATTACTGCGCCAATGCTTAATACAACACAGATCTTCCATGTATTGAGAAAATATTTTCAGTAATTAACAATCCCAGTGAATAAAGACAGCACAAAAATATTCAAGAAAACATAAAAAAGGAAATATGATAAATACCTATTGTAAGCTACTACTGCTGTACACCCACCAATAGTGCAACGCACACCACTTTCGTGGCATCTGATTACATGTTTCTTTAACTCTGCCTTAACACCAGATGAATATGTACAAAGGTGACACGAATGAATGATCTTATGAGCATGGCACATGTGTGTACGTAGTTCATTGAAGCGATTGAAACGCAAGGGACACAATTCACAAGCATGTGCTACTGAAGTCAGTATTATTAATAAGAATAAATTAATGTGTAGTAAGAAACTGAAAGACTAAATCACAACAACTTAGTCATATATTAATTAGGGCCTTGCTACATCTAAATACGACATAAAGCTTGACACTTTGCAAAGAACTTACGGGAATGATTTGATTTGATATGCAGACGCAATTTATTCGGAAAAGGAAACCTCGCACTACAAGTCTGACAAATATGCTTTTTTTCCAGTCGTTTCACATCAGCTTTCCGACGTTTTATACTATTATTCATTTATCTAGAAAAGAAACACTTGAACTTTTTCTAATGAGCCTGCACTCGACTTATTTCTTATGTAACTTAAGAAGAAAAATGGTTAGTTAGAAAAGGTAAAAGATACCATTGAAATTGAATCAAAACTTTATTAAGACATAAGTTTATTGTGAACAATTTGAAACTGATGGGATGTCCAGCATTTTAATGAAATGAAAGCATGTAAGAAAATAAACCATGAACAATATAAACAACTTCAATAACAAAATACACAAGAAATGAATTACACTGATAGAAATGTTCAAGTAAATGATTTGCTTGTAATTAAACAAAAATAAAATGCATCATAACTTATAAAACGTCAATTTAAGGATAAAAGTTAAAAATTCAAACCCTCAACAAAAGTTCATCATATCCTTTCTCAAATACTTTCTATTTAAAGATAGCGCATATATGAACAGAATACAAAGTCATAACTTTTAGTACTATACAGGACTGCAAATGAAAATTTTTAATCAGACTTCACTAACAACAGCTGCAAATCTATTTTGTCAGAAAGAGAACTGATACTATCAGAACTATCATCAGGTGAACCTAATAAAGAGAACCGAACATCCTCCCTAGAAGCGACGTTTTCCTGCAATAACAATTAATTCTATCCAAAATCTAAGTGAAAAGAATAATAATAAATCACTGAAAGAACTATGAAATTATACAGCTTTCGAACAATAAACAAAGCGTATGTATACAAAAAATAACTCACTGATAGCTGATTATCTGGAGGTTCTAGATTCAAAGATTTTGAAATAACAACTTGTTCCTTAGCAGTTAGAATTGGGGAGACTTCTTCAAAAGGAATATTTTGGGGCTCAAAAACTACTTCATTATTCTGAAATGATGTTATCAGCATTCTAATTGAATAGAACAAAAATGAAAAAGCTTCATCAAAAATATGCAAATCTAACTCTCATTAAACCAGTAAACATCCATAACACTGTACAAGAATTTGAAACTAAAATAAACGTTACTTGCGAGCTTGCTCGCAAATTAAATATATAACAATTTCGACATCTAAACTCTGTGCTACTCATACCTTTTGTTTTGACTGCAACCTTTCTGTCAACCAAAATGGATTATTGCGCTGATATTCCAAAACTTCTTTAACAGCTTTTTTCAAATTTGAAATATCGATAGAAACATCGACAGGAATATCTGAACGCTGATTGTGTAACCAAGAAATAAGATTGCGAACCTAAACTTTTCCGAGATTAAAGTTAAAATAAACATTATAAAAAAAACACGCGCAAGAAACAAACCTGATCAGGCAACTTAAATACTGTTATAGGTAAAACAGTAAGTTCCAAAGGAATCACCGAAGACTGTGAGTAGGTCATATAAGCAAATGCAAAACGTACACTCGCCTTTGCTGGCACCTTCAATGGCTGTTCAGTAACTGTTTTGTAGTACTCCTACAAGTGCTTACAAATTATAATTCTTTCAAAACATTACAAAAAATCTATAGGTATCACTTGATTAATGAAAGTTCATTCAGCATTCATGTTTACCAGTCATACGTATGTTTTTCCAGCAGACTGTGACTACACAAAAGAAAAATGAAATGAACACTAACTGTCACTAAAAAATTAATTGCTGTAGAAAAGAATTCAGGAAACGGCTGTCGTTGAATTAGAACTTTTCCACGAAGAATAGCATTTGCTCCTTCAGAAAAAATAAAAATCACATGACCAGCCATTGTAAACTTGTCAATAAACCATCTTAACGGAATAGAATCTGAAATACACATATTTCTAGGAAACTCAATCTTCAGAATGAGCAATAGCCAACTTGAATGCCTTAAGTTTTTTTAAACTTCAAGACTAAGAAAACTGATGATACTAGCAAAAAAATACACCTGAATATTTTAACTCAAACAGATCAATGAAAACATCAACATTTGCATAACGTTGTAATAATTCTGCAAGTCTTGCGATGCACGAAGTATGAAGTTCAGAGTCATCTGAATAAACAATGAAGACTGTTGTCCGCTGGGAAAGGGATACTTCATACAATGCATCCTTTTGATGAAATCGAATAACCATAATAGCTACTACAATACCAAAACTTAATGCTGCAGCACCTAAAATTCAAAACAAACGACATTCTAGTGAGAGAATAGAAAATATTTGACAATTTTTTAAAGGAACTTACAATTAAAAAAGAAAAAAACTAGGACAAACATTAAACAACAGCAGAAATTCATAATTGGTAGCGTTCTGTAAAATATGTAAATAACTGAAGCACTGAATACATTCTGTCCAAGAAAAAAAGGCGCATTTAATAAGCCAATTATTTCATTTCTTTCTTGCTGTCTGAACAGTATCAAAATCATTAATAGAGACATTTCAAAAAAATTATAAGCGAACCTATAATGAGAGCTCCCCAAGTCAAACTATGTCCAGATAAAAATATCCAAGTTTTATCTTTGTCGACAGTGAAATGAACCTCAGTGCTAGGACAAATATTACACTTTTTGTTTTCATGATCAAGCCCAGAATTACATGTTACATCACAATCCATACGATTAACAAACAAGTATGCAGTGTAATTCCCAGCTGGTACATTCTTCCATTCATATTCAACGGATAAAGGTTCAAATGTATCCGTGAAAAGATGAGAGAACAGGAAGGTAGTTCTTTCATAAAGAGCCACAGAGACCACAGTATTAGTCAAGTTTGGATGTTTCTCATAATATATAATAATTCTCTAAATAATTTTTTTTCAATCATTACAGCTATTTTTATATTTTCGTGAGAATACTATTTCATGAGAGAAATACTTTAAGATAAACCAGCGAATTCAGTAAAAACTTGAAATTGTCACTAACTCTCAATATCTTTAGTCCAAAAATTTTATGCAAACTAAATGATCAAAATATATCTTTTAACTATCGAAACCAACGATTTCATCTTCCTATGAAATCCCAAGACAAACTTATCTTTCTGCCAACTACAAGCTTACATCTTTCAAAGTTAAGTCAACCGAGACAAGAGGCGACCAAGTTTGAAATCCTACATCAGCACTCTTATCATAGAAACGATTTATAACAGGATGTATATGAGTTTCACTCGGTATCGTGACGATAAAAGATTTCCTACAAACTCAATAATAATTCAAATACAAGTAGCTTGTACTGCCCCTTAATTGCAATCATTTATCGAAAAATTTAGTATTTCGTAATTTCTTAGAATAAAAACATTACATTTAAAGAAAAATTTGATATCTTGACTTTTTAAAGAGATGAGATGAGGTGCAACAATTTAAATTACCATGTACTGCATATCCCGGTAATTTATTATATAATCATAACGCACCTGCATTGATATGGAGCACATGACACATTCAGACGGTATTGAGAATAAGCAGAGAGCCGGAAGCACGAATAACTGAAGAAAAATGGATAATGAACCAAATCTGGGTTGGGAAGGATGAGGGACCGGCAAGGCCATATCATCCGTCCCCATTTCTGATGTTGTCTCTAAAAATAAGGATTTGAAACAATTAAAATAATATTCACAAGCTAAAATAATGGGAGGCACTTTACATAAAACCTGAGACTAATAATGATAAAACTTCAATGACATTGAAGTATACAAGAACGAAGTCAGAAATGAAGGAGAAATTCCTATGAAGGATATGAAATCCAACCTCATGGTTGTGACAGTAATCGTCATCCAAACTTGGTGCTTCTAAGCATTCCAATCTAAGAAAGACAGAGGATACGGGGTAATTAATCGATATAGAAACATTAAGTAAGACGTAAGGCAATCTGTAAAACCATAATAACTGAAGTCTACATAATCCCTACAATAATAAAAAATAATTGACAAAACACTTAAGACTTGAAAATAAAATCAGACTTTTACTACGTAGAAAACTGTTCTCTTCTCTTATTGAATACTGACAAAAGTCACTAACTTTGTGACATACAATAACTTCAAGCTTACACGTTGATTCCCTCCGACAAGACAGCGACAGAAGTGAAAGTCACATTCAAATAAGAAAATTCACAAAATATAGCCTGAGATAATACTGCCACAGATTCCGCTGCATCACACTTTTGCGTATCAGTTTCAAATTCATAAAGAGCATGAACAACTTTGGACTCAGTAGAATTTCCAAATAGTGAATCAACTTTTTCTCGACATCTTCCGGAGAAACAACTAACAAATAAGAAACAGCACATAAAACACGTAACTACAATGAAGCATTTGGATGTGAAGAATATTCTAACGATCATTTCATATTTCCAGAGTATATCATTTCCCAGTTCTTTAAATTATTTGTTGATATCCACTGCAGTTAGTTTAATCTCAACACTCGACTATAAATTCTCTGCTACTTTATATTTCAATTTTCGTTTTCTCCTTTTCAGGTTCATTGCATTCAGAGACTAGTAGATTTGAATTCTCCTCTGATTGCTCTAGTGTCTCAGAGGAATCTGAGTGTACTTGTTGAGATTCAGCCTTTAACTTTGCTGTATGTAATTCCTCAAGATTGTGCCGTGCTCGGATAAAAGTTTTCGGATGTATTGGAAGTACTCCCCAAATACCTGAAAATAGCTGTAATTAGATGTATGACGCTATATTTTGAAAAAAAGGATCTTTCAGATATTTTAATCGTCTATTAATTTTTAATCTTGATGAATACTCTTTTGTAAGGTACTACACATCTATGGGCTGTAAACTATATATTTTTATATTTGGAGCTTGATATGTTAATGATCGAAAAATTTAGTGCCTAATAGTATTAAATTGGACATATATTTCACAATG